TGCACCTTGACTTTGTGCATTTGTGTCAGAACTCCTTATTTCCCAAACCAGACTTCCCGCGTACGCTTCCTGGTAGTAGTGCGGTTCCCAACTCAAGGTGCTACCTGGCGTGCCTAGTCACAAGAAGACTTTTCTCTTTAGTTTGCTGATTATTCCTTCCAGCTTCTGTGTAGCACACGAACTCTTCACTATTTCACTGGTCATGTTGCTTCAGCAGATTTTTCTGCACTAACAGCAACAAGAGCTCATCCGCGGCGTATTTTCAGGTTCTCTTGAACGATTTCACAATATCTAGTTCTTGGTCGATTCGTGTTTATATATCTTATGGAAATCGCGTTGGATTTTGTTTTAAATCTCTTGAAATAACTTGAATGTGTAATCTTGCCCCAGATTCTGGGTTTCTTATATATAATTTACAGTATCCGATGTTGCCCACTAAAATCTTGAAAACAAGTAGACTTATATAATTCTGGTAATCAATTGTGTGTTTTCCATTTGCTACTTACTAGCTTGACCCAATGCTTTCACCGTATGGAAATCTTAATGGCAGTGCCGATAATTTAAGCAAAGACGAGTACTTGTGGCAACACATGAATGATGAGGGTTGGGTTCGTGTTAGCTTCATTACTTGGTTTAGGAAGGCATGTGTTTATGTCTGAGTCTTGCTGGTATCTACTCTTTGTTTCTTATCTCTCTTCAGTTTTGGTCTACTTCCAGATTACATGAGTGAATGACTCTGCGTTTGAAAATACCTTTTTTCGGGAAATAAAACATGTAACTATAGTCGAGTGTGCGTGTTGCAATATTTGGACACAATGACAAGTTCAGATGTTGTGCAAGTTCAGGTACACAAATCTACATAAGGCGATTAATGCTTAATTATAAAACCAACATTTTCTTTCCCCCAATCTTTGTCTTATAGGACCGCTCTAGCCTCTGAGTTAGTGCTTATTATATGTGTTGTATTGCACGATGAATCTATAAGGATGGGACAAGTATATATGTGCCATGTTCGGCAATTTGACGCAACGACAACTTTTTGTTAGTTCATTACGGAGACGCTGTAGGAACTCAATTATTACAATATGGGCAAACTGATATTTGTAAAATGAAATATATAATAAATCGATATTACAATAACAATAACGATACATGCATTAAGATAAGAAAGAATCTGCAGAGACGAGATACGATCTCTATCCTTCATTCCGAAAACGTTCCGTAATGTGACGGTTGTGTGACCAGGCCGTGCTAACCATGTTAGAAAAAAAGCAATTGCCTAGGGCCCATTTTAGTTAGAAAAATTTTAGGGCCCCATTTTAAAATTTTTTAATACTTAAATACATAGAAAATCTCAATTTAACTTCTATTTAGGCTAAATTTTAGAGCATCATTTTAAAAGTTGTTTCATCTTTATATTTAAAAGGGCTGCTATAAACTTTACACATAGTCCCAGTTCGTAACATATTTTCGTTTTATCCTTTTGTTTATTTTTTTTTCTTTTTATTCAAAGGTTTTTATAGCATAACTTTTGAACCCATTGAATTATTTTCTGTGTTACTAAATTAGTTTCTAACTCTACATTTATTCTACTCACATTAGCAAAAATGATGAAGATTTTCACAATCTTATAAATAGTGTTTTAATATGAACTATTTATTATTGACATATAATAAACTACTTATTATAAAAAAAAATTGTATATATTTTATCCACTATTTTAAATACTACTTTATAAAAAAATTATATACTAAATCTGTTTAAATTTAAATTAAAATTTTATCATCAAATTTTGCCTAAGGCCCCCAAATAGCTAGGCACGGCCCTGTGTGTGACGTTCCGAATCCCATGATACAACTGTAGTCAACTCTGTTTTGCACAACTCAAGAACATAATCTAACGAAAGCTAGATTTTTTGTTATACTCTCAAACACAAAATAAAAATAAAATAAAGTAAATTGTGAGAAAGTTTGTTGTTGTTGTTGATCTTATGATCATGTGATTATGTGTTGATCTCATCTCTTACGAAAGGAGGATTAAGGCTTGTTTTATACAGCCAACATGCCTAACGTATATCAACGTAAAATCCATAAAGGGAGAGATGAGGATTTAATC